ATTCCGATGGAAATCTTTCGCAAGGAGGCAGAACCCTTCACAGACGGATTCGTATTGAAATTCGCCTTGGAAGGGTTCCTATTGACATCCTCGACAAGAAATGTTTTCATGTGTGAGCGCGGTTCTGGCATTATTTTCTGAGTAACGAAACGCAGGAGGAGGGGTGGGGGGGGTGAGAAGGATGAGGAAGAGTGGTGAAAGGAGAAGGGTGAGGAGAAGGACGCATGTGAAGAGGACCGCATTACTCGCAGAAGTACCTGCCAACGCGGCTTCGCCACTAGGTCTGCGATAAACGTTGCGCAGCGGAAGGTTGCTCACAAAACTTAGTGCGGAGCCGTTTTGACACATAGTTTTGCGAGAAGCAGGGAGGGCGAGCGCATGATGAAGGAACCGATGATGAGAAGAAGGAGCAGTGTGAGGACGAGGAAGAGGGAGAGGAGGAAGAGGGTGATTAGGATGACGAAGGTGAGGGGGAACACGTTACTCACAAAACTTGCTGTCAGCCTGGCTCCACAATGAGTCTTGTGAGTCACGCCTTGTTGCCAAGGCCTGCTGCAAGGCGTTGCCCATGAGAACTACTTGCGCAACCTCGTTGGCGATTAGTTTTGTGAGTGACGCCGGGTAGCGGAGAGGGAGGAGCGGACGTGATGGAGGGGAGGAAGAGGAAGAGGACGAGGCGGAGGGTGAGAAGGAGTAAAAGGAAGACGAGCAGAAGGGTGAGGAGGATGACGAAGGTGGGGAGAAGCATATTACTCACCAAACTAGTTGTCAAGGGGGCTCCATGACTAGTTTTGTGAGTAACGCTGCGAAGCGGAAGGTTACTCACAAAAGTAGTTGTGCAGCCGCGTTGGCACCTAGTTTAGTGAGCAAGCCCTCGTAGCGGAAGGGTAGGGGCACGATGAACGGGAGGAGGAGGAGGAGGAGGACGAAGAGGCGGAGGAGGAGAAGGAGAAGGAGAATGCTGAGGAGGAGGCGGTGGACTTGCTGCAGGAGGAGCAGGAGGAGGGAGGACGGCGGAGGAGGAGCAGGAGGAGGAAGGAAGAGGTGGAGGAGGAACAGGAGGAGCAGCAGGAGGCTGAGGGGGAGGAGGAACGGTCCTTCGCGCCATTGTATCCGTGGCGTGAGCTGGTTTCTCGCGCGAAGCTTGGCTTTATTACGCTCGTCCTCCTAGAGCATTGCTCTCTTCTCCCCTACTGATAAATCAAGGGCATTACGCCCTGCTGTGGATCCTCCCCAAGCATCCTTATCCTAAATCGGCGTTGCGCCTTCAACTGCCAACGGCCACCAAACATTTTCCTTTTTTTTAACATGATTTAAAAACTTGTTGGTTTTGTTTGTTTGTTGTTTTTCTCAACTCAAGCGTTGCTGTTTTCTATACTTTGTATGATTTCAAGAATTCCAGCAACCATTCGGGCCAACCTGCAATGGCTGCTGAAATTATTCCATTTATAGCAATTCTAGAAAATAGCAGTGTTTGGTGGCCATTCGCTTTAGGAAGCGGCCACCAAACACTGCTGTTGTTTTTAATTTCTATAACCTCCTAAACCGAATGGTCACCAACCATTGCTATTGTTTCTTTTTTCTATGACTCCTATAATTCCCGCAACCGTTCGCGCCAGCCTGCAACGGTTGCGGGAATTATAGAAACGATAGAAATTATAGAACATAGCAGTGTTTGGTGGCCATTGGTGCAGAGCGTAGTGAGGAAAGGGAGTGGAGAACAGGAGTGGAGGCCGCCAGGTTGAGTCCCCCAGTTGGCCGCTGGTACAAAGCATGAGGAGGAAGAGGAGTAGAGAAGAGGCACCTCACGCCACATAGTATGAAATATCAACCTTCCCCCTCTCCCCCCCCCTTCCGCCCAATGTCGAAACGCCGAACAAGAAACGCTCACCTGCCGCACATTGGCTTGCGAGCGGCGCCTTGCTGTCCAGGGCCAGGCTGGGCTCGACACCTGTACGACAGTGCGGATCCTGACTGGCAGTTGCCAGTTCGGAGTCTCTGGGTCCATGACGTGCCCAGCAGCTCGCGCCGTGGCTTTGCGCAAGACAGCTGGTCTAACGCGTGCCACTGCGCCTCCCGTGAACACTCGTATCCTGGCTCCGACTGCTCGCAGCCCTGCTATCGCCTTGTGAAGCAGGGTGTCACCAACGCCTGGTACCTTTCGAGGACGAGCCGATCAGGGGCGACCAGGCCACGCGCGCGCCGCGGGCCGTGTTAGACGATCATCGTCGAGAAGACGTTCTCTGCCTCAGGTGACCTGCTGGTCTCCGCCGAATGGGTGTACGTCTTCATATACTAGTGCGACGCTGACGGCAGGATGATCATCATCGTGAGGTAGCTGGTTCAGTCAGCCGTTGGCTGGCGCAGGCGGCCCGCCTTGCTCTGGCGATGGCAACTCGCCGAAGCGCCCTGCAAGCGCAACGCGCCGGTGTCTGTCTCCGGCGCTTCAGCACCGCCTTCGCCGGGAGAAGCTGTGATGGCGGCACGTCGCCACAAAGGGCAGTGCTGCGCTGTCGTTCGTGCCTCTGCAGGCGAGCCGGCAATGGTCGGTTTGCGCCGCGGTGGCCTGCCTGGGTGGCCACGCCGAGCAGCCGCGGAACGCAGCAAAAGGTCTTTCTAGCCATCCCGCCGTTGCAACGAGCAGTTTGCGTGGACAGGCGCAAGCAACAGACGTCGATCTCGTTCGTTCCCCACGAACAACACCTGCGCTGAGGTCGTCCAGCTGGCGGGCAGAGAGCACGAGTCTGACAACCAAGCCAATGGCCGTCATTGCTAGAGTCATTCTGCCGGAGCACGCCGACTCGATTCAGACAAACGCCTGCCATATCAGCACCAGGAACAAGGCACACGCCGGCCAGCAATCGTTGCTGGCAATATCAGGCAGCCACAAGCATTCTGGCATGCACTGCCAGTCTGGCCGCGCCTGCGCGCCCACCAAACACGGCGCGCAGGTGCCGTGCTGCCGAGCGGCGGCGCTGCTGCACCAGGCGCCACACTTAACACGCGCCCGGCGGAACCCTCCAGCACGGAGCGCCGAGGGCGATCGCCAAGGTCAGCTACTCAGCTGACTGGTGGCTTGCGCCCAACATCTTGTGAGCAGCAACGCGCTGTTGACAGAATCAGATGCCAAACCTGACTGGCAGGCACGATCAGCGCTACGGCTGGTCCGTACGCCAGGCGCGATCTGTGCCGGGCTCCCATGGGCAGAGCCTCGCTCCTGGCTGCCACGCGACAGAAGCCATCGAGCGCCGAGTTCCAGCGAGAAGCCCGTTCATGGGCTCCCCCTGCCGCAGGGTGCAGGCACGGTTCAGCGATCCCGGTCATGGGAGGCGCATCGCGCGCACGCGCCTGCCTTAGGCGAGCCTGCATAACTCTCCATGATTCACCTCGCCACTGTTCGAGCTGAGGCTTTGAGTCGTGGGTGATGTGTGCGAGGCCTGCTACGGCTCGACGCGAATATTGCGCGGCGCCGCGACTGGTTCAATGCCTAACTGCGGGCGTTCCCGCCTGCCCACGGCGCTGCGGGGGGACGCCCCCCGTGGCCCGTCAGCCTCGACCCGAACAGGACCCTGCGCGCCCGCCGCTGCCGTCGTGGCTCAAGCACGCGGCGCCTATCTTTGCACAGCAGTGGGAGGTGCACAGTCAACCCGCATGGTAAGGATGGGCAGCCTTACCAGGGGTACCCTTGCATCCTTGCCTCTTCGGCCCATCCTCAGCGACTTTCGCTGGCCAGCCTCGTTCGAGAAACGTCAGCATGGGCCTGCAGGGCCCTGTCATCCTTGCCGCGCATCCTTGTGATACGGGTGGACTGTACTTCCTCACCCGTGTCTGTCCCACGCCAGCTTCGCAGGTCCAGTCTTCTCCCCTCCTCCCGCCTGCTCGCCCTCCAGGCCCCCAGAGGACCGCACGGCCTCGTCTCACGTGCTCGGGGATGGCCGGTGCGCTCCCCGCCGGTCGAGCCAGCGGGTGGCTGGTGGCGCGTGGTCCGCGGGATAGCAGAAAGATAGGCGACCGGCCCACGACGGGCAAGATCGGGGCCCTGTTCGAGGCCCTGGTCGAGGCCCTGTTCGAGGCAACATCGGGGCGCTGTGCGAAACTTGCGGCGAGTGAGAAGGGGGTGGGCTGCGGCGGGGCTGGGTCCCGTCCCTCCCTCTTGGCCTCGCTGCGGCTGGTCTGGGCTCCTCTCCTCCTTCCTTCCCTCTCGTCCTCCTCCTCCTCGCGCTCCTCCTCCTCCTCCTCCGAGGAGGAGAAGGAGGAGGAGGAGGAGGAGCAGGAGGAGGTCTCCCCCCCCTGAAGATCGCAGCTCGGCCGTGGCCCGCCCCCGCTGGGGCCGCCGGCCAGGGGCTTCGGCACGCCGTTGTGGCGGAGGGTGCGATGCGGCCCACCGCCCCGCCTGGCCCGCCCTCCCGAGGTGGCTCCTCCGAGGCCCGGGCGGCGCTGTGTCTTTCCGCGGCGCCGCATGGGCGGTGCCGGCGGCGGCGGCGGCCAGTGTTCTTGTTGGCCTGCCGCGGGCCGCGCGCGCCTCTCGCCGCCCGTTTCTGTTCGCGTCCTGTTCCTCATGCCGCCCGTGGTTTTCGTCGCGCGGCGGGGCGTACTCGGCCACTGCCAGCTGGCATCGTGAGTCCCGTGCGTCCGCTTGTCTCCCTGGAGCGCGCACCTCGGCGAGTGCGGCGCTCCGTCGGGGCTGGCCATGCCTCGGCTTTGGAACGCGTGCTCCGAGGCCCAGGGAGGGCTTGCACTTCGGTGCGCCTGCGCGCTCCCGCAGCTTCACACCGCCTCCCTCCCCCCTACTCTTTCTCCGTCTCCGTCTCCGTCTGCATCTCCTCCTCCTCCTTCTCCTCCTCCTCCTCCTCCTCCTCCTCCTCCTCCTCCTCCTCGTCCTCCCCCTCCTCCTCCCCCTCCTCCTCCTTCTCCTCCTCCTCCTCATCCTCCTCCTTCTCCTCCTCCTCCTCCTCCTCCGTCCTTCTCCGTCCTCCTTGGCTCGCAAGCGCACTGCGCAGGTTGCGGCCAACCGCTTGTACCAG